AGCCTTGACCACCCTCTGGCCACCTCTTGTATAAAAGTCTACTTCCGCCACTGATTTCAATTTAAGTATTTGCTATGAATTTTGTTCAACCTTGCAATTTCAACGATTCAATCCCAGAAAAAGCCCACGAAATGGAAGGACCGATTACTAACCACAATTAGCTGCTCCTACACTTGACAATAACCACATATTTCATTGTTTTTACAGGCAACCAAAGTATACTTAGAGATGTCACTGGAGATCTGGTACGTATTACCAAATGAAAACCACCTCAACCAAAAACTGTGTCAGTAATTTTAGTTTCGTTTCAATTTTGCTTTTAGCAATACCAGTAATATGAATAGAGGCTTGTGCAAACCTGCCTCAGGTTTAAGAAAATACAGAGGAATTCCAGAGGAGTTCACCTCAGAAACTAAAATTAGATCTAAAGGTTGCGTGACTCAGTAACAGCAGGATACTGTAATTCAAGGTTACAATGCACCATCATTTCCATGGTATAACTGTATAGTGATTAGTGGGAGGGTTTGGAAATACCATATATACTTCAAGAATGAATAACTGTGATAAGGTGTATAGTAAAAGGTAGGAGGCCATGACTGTTGTGTTGCATATCGACCACCTTGAGTCAGATCTCATCTTCAGTAGTGTTACATACACAGAGAGAACATATCCTAAATTTGCCTCTCAGCAGGTAATGTAAAAGCTATTGTCTATCTTCCCACTATCAGATTTTAGTAAACCTTTCTGTTATTTGTTTCTGCAGTACTAAGCTCGACCTGCGGTTCAGCCTGGCCCTGTGTGACAAAGAGAAGCGGTTTAGACAGACCCGCAGAGAAAGAGTGATGCTGGGCATCAAGAAGCTTCTAGACATGGAGAAGCCTCGCTTCCTCCCCAGCTCTCCAGAGGAGGTGGGAACAGAGTGTCAAAGTCAACTTTTAACGTAGATTTAAGATTGCAGCTGTTTTTATTTGTAACTTGTTTTCAGTCATTTGTGTAAATCTGTGAGGGGGTGAGTTTCACCATACGTATGCACTCCACTACATATAATGCTTGAGTATCAAACACTTACATGTGTCTGCTGAGGGGGCTGACGTAAAGGAATTCTGACTGATACCTAAAGGAATTAGGCATTAGACATTTTGGACTTCTATGTTTTATGCTGAGAGTTTGATGAGAAGATCAATACCATTCTCATGTCAAATATTAAGCTACAGTCAGCAGCCGTTAACTTAACGCTTAACCCTGGACTGAAAATATGGTGAAAGAGCTAGTCTGCCTAACCTGCCTGAAACGTCTAAAGCTCACAAATAAACAAGACAGGGTCTAGCTGTGCTAACTGTTTCCTGCCTGTATCTTCACATTTACATATTCACAGTGCAGAGTGGGTATCTGTTCTTATCTAGCTCACAGCAAGAAAGCAAGTAAGCCGTTCCCCCAAAGTGTCAATCTATTTCTGTAATATTAGAGTCACAATAAGGAAATTGAGTCTGTGAACTTGTTCAGGCAGTCCACACTAACACTCACATGGTACATCCCTTTTCTCACGTTTTTCATTATGGCTGTGAACATAACCTCTCAGTGCTCTTCTCACCTTTTTACTGCTAGCATGCCGTTAGAGAAGTGTCCAGCTGCAGCCTTGCAGACGCTACAAGCCACGCCTCCTTTAGAACACCTGGTAGTACATGAAGTTACTGTGACAGACAGCAGATAAAAAACAAGTTGAAAATCTTATTAAAAGTTGCTATTTTAGCAACTATTAGGCAGAAGGAATAATGAGGATAAACTATGCATCGTTAGCCTAACTGCTAAAAATATACTTATACATAAATGTGGATATTTATGAACATCAGAATGTAGTTTTTATATGTTTTGTTTTATAATGTGAATAATAATAACAACATAGCAAATTCACATCATGGGAATACCCACCTCTACTCTGCCTCTGATTTGGCCTGACCCTGACATTTTCTTTTAACCCTTCTTTTAACAATCTCACCCCTCCTCATGTGAAAACCAAACCAACCAGCAAATCAGAGGCAGAGTAGGACTGGTCTTTGTGAAACGCAGGTTGGAAAAAATCCTGTTTTAAACACACACTTTTAACAAGGGCCAACTTCCTTCACGTTCCTTACGTTCTTATGTTCATGCTGCACCTGCAGCTGGATATACTTGTGCCACCACACCGCTCAGCTGAAAGCTATGCTGTCATTTGCTGCTACTGCTGCAATTTATAGAGCATTTCAAAAGCCCCCCCTCCACCCCGGTAGCAGCCTGTCAGCTCTGAGTCTACGTTCCCCGAAGTTGATATCATCACTCTCCACTCCCTGCTGTGCTGAGCTTGGTGTTTTCTTGTGGGGAGTGATAAGATATGAGCCTAGATATCACATATGCTGTTAATATGTTATACTCAGATAATAATCCATTCCAGATGAGTTAGCTGACTGAGCTCTAGCAACATTATATACCAGATATAGGGATGATGGATGTGTGCTTACTGTGGTATCTCTCATTCCAGTACAGATTCACTCTTATGATATGTAGCATTTACTTGTGAAGAGAAAAATGAAACAAAAAACAGTCATGCAAATCTTTGAAGTCTGTTTCCTTTGGTAATGCACCCAGACCTGCTGACTTGCTAAATTTAAAACGGTGATGCACTTTTTCACACGTTGTGTTCTCATGCAGCATTCGCAAAGCTCCAACTTCTTCTCCTCTACTCTGAGCTAAGCGAAAAGTTTCATTTTCTCGCTTCTGTGGTTTTGGCTAGATGCCCTTGGGGCCGGCTGTAATCTCCAGCCAGTTCTGCTTACGTTTTCAACATGTGCCGGAAGCACCAGAGGAATGAGATAACCAGCTTCAGCCCTCAACTATACTACAACATCTCTTAACTCCCTATCCAGGAGGGCTCTGGTGGAAATACATCTAAATATTCAGGACTGACCGAGAGATAATCATAGTCTGCAGAAAGGAAGTAGTATTGCACAATGGGAATTATGAAATAGTTGAAAATCCAGAGGCACAAAAATGGTTCAAAGCCTGACGCAACTGGCATGCCACCCTCACTGTAAAGAGGCACTAGAGGGAAGTTACTCAACCCGAAAGAACGAGATATAAAGAATGTGAGACTCTAAGCTGTGTAGTATGTAATTATGTGATTAAGTATGCCTTTGTCTTCTTTTTCTTCACATTATGATTATCTCCTTTTGTGTGTGTGTGTGTGTTATAGGTGCCGGTGATCGCCATAGCAGGCTCAGGAGGCGGTTTCCGTGCCATGATCGGCTTCGCAGGTGTGATGAAAGCCCTGATTGAGTCTGGGGTCCTGGATTGTGCCACATATGTCTCTGGCCTCTCTGGATCGACATGGTCAGCTTTAATTTCTCCTCTTCTCCTCTTTTTTTTTTTTTTTAACCTTCTCTTTCTCTGACCCCTTTTGTTTCTAAAGACACTTTCTCTCTTTATCTTTCTCTTTGTTATTACTGCCATGTTTCTTTTGCCCTTTCTCTCTTTCTTTCCGACTCTCCCTCAGTGTTGCCTCCTCCCTTCTTTGGGAAACTTTCCTGCCTTCCTCTGCTGGTATGAAGCTGTCATCAAGCGAGCATCTCTGGCTTATTTCAGTCTCCAGCTTCATGTTTATGGAGTGACTAACTGGATACAAGTACAGTACCTCCTGCATAAACCTTGTAAAGAGGAAAGTGATTTTCTTGCAATGAGTGATCTGACAGAATTTTACACACATTGCTCTTTTCTCTTTATCCCTGTAGGTACATGTCTGCTCTCTACTCTCACCCAGACTTTCCAAATAAGGGCCCAATGGACATCAACAAGGAGCTGATGAAGAGAGTTAGTGGTAACCCACTGAGGCTGTTGCTGCCCCAACACATCACCAACTACATCCAGGCTCTCTGGACCAAAAAGGCCACAGGGCAGCCTGTTACCTTTACCGATATCTTCGGTATGCTCATAGGAGAGACGCTTATACCTTCGGTAAGAGCCGCCTGACAACTGTTTGTGTTAGTTTTGATTCCTTATTTCTCCGTCTCCTTATGGCTCTCCTTCCCCTCAATCTGTGTTTGTCTTTTCTTTTGAAGTCACATCCCTCACCAGGTTTATTTATGCTTTTTATTTTCATTTTGTTCTGTATTTCTTCCCCTCCATTTTTATTTTACTTCCTCATAACAATGACAATGAGATGAAACTCTTACTGCCTGCAGAGTGTAAGTGTAAATGATTCATAGACTGTGTTCTCTCCTGCCAGAGGATGGACATCAAGCTAAGTAGCATCCAGGAGAAAATAGACCAGGCCCAGAGTCCTCTTCCTCTCTTCACATGTCTGCATGTCAAGCCAGATGTTTCTGAGCTCATGTTTGCAGGTAAATATTATATGTTTTGCAAGTATCTGCATGTGCATTTTATGTTAAATTGTGTGTTTCATGTACCCCATGTCGCACAGAGAAGTATTTGGCATATGTAATGAATAACTAGAAATGATCAGATAAGTTTGGCGACATGCAAAGTGAGCTGTCCTCTAATGATGACTATGTGATAACAATATCAAGGAACTGAGTAGTGAGTACAAGGTCATGACAGAGTCTGGGTTAGTCCCCTGTTGTACAGTACTTCCTCATGGTTGAAGTTGCATGCACAGCAGCTGTACACTGCGAATAGCAAATACAATAAAGGAACAACAAAAATCTCCAGTGATCTGTTTTTCCTTAAGCCTCCCTGAGTGACGAGGAAAATGCATGATCCTCCACCATAAATAACCATATTTTATTATATTCACACCAAAGGAAGGTAGCATTGGAGAAAAAAAAAAACAGGCAACCATTACCGTTAAGGCAACCATTACCGTTAATAGCAAACGCTAATAGCATGACTCTTAAACGTGGGCCCTCTGACCCCCCTTGTCTTGTAAACTAACAGCCAAACTTAATTTCAATATTTAATAAAGTTTGTTCCTCTACTCCATTACATGGGTTATGATGTGCTCCAGTATACTTTGGAATATTTCTCTGAAGTAACCTTGATACAATTATGACGACTGTCACAATAAAAAAAAAACCACAAGCATGCTATCTATTTCTGGTTAATGAAGTGCCAGTCTTGGGGAGAGGCCACATTCATTCCTGGTCTAGAATTACATTTCCTATTGTTAGTTCTCACCATTACAGCTTAACTTAAAAAACTGGCCTTCAAAAAAAAAATACTCAAGTGCTAAGTCATTATATGTGACTCAAATAGACAAAATTGTTCTTCAATTTTTTTCAAACTCTCCTCTTACCTAGAATCTCCAGTTTCTTTATGTTCCAGCTCAATGGAAAACTCTATTGTCAGAAGTCAGCTTAAGTAAAGTTGAGCTGTGAAATTATGTTCACCTTTAGAGGCAATTATTGTCTAAAAGGCTTTAAGAGGCTTAAGTATTTCTTGTATGTGAATCTGTCCATGTGTTTTGTATGTTTGAGTGCTTTTGTGTATGTGACAGCTTGTTGCTGTAAAAATGTTGCAAATGCGTCATATTGACTAGTTGGTTTAGAGAGAAATGTAGCCAAAATGAAGCTTTTGGCCCTTAATGACCCCAGTGGTTCGTCCCTCTCTCTGTAGTGTGAATCCTGTTCTGCTTAAGTACCAATTTACCAACACTTTTAAAAACTGCAGACACACTTTTTAATCTAATTTCAATCTAGGTGTCAGATATAAAATACCAGAAATGTATTTTTGGGGCATGAGGGACTGTTCCCCAGATGCTGAATTGAAAGTAGCCATTTCCTCTAAGGCTGCCAAAAACCCAGACTTTTTATATTCACTGCCTCACTGTGAGCAGTGTCATTTGTAAATTTGTACAGTGCAATAACTGCGTTTATTGATTTTACATGCAGAATGATGTATAAGTCATTGACAGGTACATGAGGACTATGGTGATCATATTGGTTCTGAACATGTGTTGCATTTCTGTTGCATTAACACTGAAGTTTTAACCTGTAGACTGGGTGGAGTTCAGCCCGTATGAAATCGGGATGGCAAAGTACGGCACCTTCATGACCCCCGACATGTTCGGAAGCAAGTTCTTCATGGGAACTGTTGTCAGGAAATACGAGGAAAACCCTATTCATTTTCTGATGGGTAAGAAAGATGTTTTCAACTATGCCGCTGAACACAACTGTCAGACCATGAGCAAACCTACTAACAGTATGTTTTCACTGTTATCAGGCGTGTGGGGCAGCGCCTTCTCCATTCTGTTCAACAGAGTGCTGGGAGTCAAAGACACAGTTGGTGGCAGCACCATGGAGGAGGAGCTAGGTAATTTTTCCTCTGCTTCTCTTTCCACATGTATTTTGTTGTGAGCTGCACTGTGCAGATTTAAATACATTTGTTTGATTGACTGGAAGAGCACAGTAATCCCAAAAAATCTCCCCGATGCTGTGCTTTGGCTTTCGATCATATTGCATGATCTTCATCAGTGCTTTTAAGATTTGAAATTTGAGATTGAAAGTTCATTCTTGACCTGCCGAGGAAGATCGTGTGATATGACTAAAAGCAGCCACTATATGGATAATTTATTAATTTCAAAGTTTTTTTTACCCACATCTGTTAGAGATTAAAAAAACATAACGTCTCTTCATCTAAATAATAATTTTTCACTGGAGGAATATTGTCCATTTATCAGTCAATAAAACACTATGTAAATAAAAAGACCATTTAAGGCTTGTAAATTTATAGATATAGGATTTATGTTAATCCAAAACATTGTTTATATACTTAGATTAGTACTTGCCAATAAATGAATTATTGCACTGAAGAAATATGTTTTAGTCATGGATACTTACTACTTGGTCTGTCTGGGTCTACTGATAAAATTACTTTCATGGTATACCCTCCTACTGAAACTGACATTTAGTTGTATCTCAGATACTATTGTTATCTGTTTCGTAAGTTTGCCTTTGTCTCCGGCCATAATTATCTTTACACACATAGTAGGTATCCTCAGACCTTCAAAAATAGCCAACCTAAAATTATCTCAAAAGATTTCCAATGTTTAGCATGGCTGTGTGTGTGTTATCACAACAGTGGGAAGATATCCACTTCTTGAAACGATTCTGACAGCTCATCGGATGTTTGTTTTGGTTGAATGCATTTGTTTGGGTGACCTTTAAACAATGCATTGGTTGTATAAAAGTGTTCATCTCCACCCACTTTAAGAATGCATTAGTTTATGAGGTGTATTGCATTTCTCTTAGGACTCTTATTTTGATAGATAAACAATAGGCGGTGAATTTGATAATGTCACACAGCTGAACAAAACATTCTGTTAGGTTCAGTGTTGATATGTGATTAAAAAAAAAAAAAAATTAACAACCATCTCTTGAAGTTGTAACCTGAGTGAAGGTGTCTTGTGTCTTACAGAGCAGATCAAACCGCAGCACATCGTTGGGGAAGACAGTCTGGATAATGACGACGAGCCACGCAAAGGTGAAGATATGCATGATTCATAAAAAGAGCTTGCGAACAGATACCACATTGTGCAGCGCAATGGTGCAACAGAGATGTGTGGCTTTTGAATGGTGTCAGTAAACATTTTGACACGTTGGGTCTGAGGGAGAGTTGACACTTTTTTTTTTGTGGTAATGTTTCCATTTGCAAATGTTAGAGTGACACAGCAACATCAAAACAGCCACCGTGGTTACTTTCAGGTCAGGAAGAAGAGCTGATACATCAAGCTTTCAATTAAAAGTCTTTGGTTTAATGATCCCATTAATAATGATCTACAAATTTAATTTTAGGAAGTTAGTGTGTTTTTTTCTCTGCAAGTGTGAGCTGTAGTTGTGAGTGAAATAGAAGCAAGCTATAAATAGAAGGAAAGAGGAAGAGAGGAAGAAAGAGAAGGGGTGGGGTAAGATGACTTTTGTTTCAAATGAATTACCCTTGAAGATGAAAAACATTTTTCATTGTACAAAAATGGGCAATTTAATATTTCTGGAGATTGATCACTACTGTTGCTTTAATACTGGCTTCATTTGCCAGTCACTGAGGTTGCCACTTGGTCTCTACCTTATATATACTGTCCTTCTATTGTTCTGCTGAGGGAAATATTTGGCTCCTTAGCTGCCAAAGGCTCCACTATGTTAACTAATGTCTGTAACTGCATTTGGTGCTGGGAAGGTAGTGTACAGAGATTTTTTGATGGAAAAAATAAATGCACCTGTATTTGAATAGCGCCCTTCTAGTCTTCCGACCACTCAAAGCACTTTTACATTACGTGCCACATTCGCCCTTTCACATTCACACACCGATGACGCAGTATCGCAAGCAATTTGATATTCAGTATCTTGCTCAAGGATAGTTTGACACCGTTTCATTTTAGCAACATTGAGGAACTGTCTGATGTTTCCGTCATTTGACACAATAAATACACCTGCAGTGCCGCCAGATTTCAGTCAAACAAGGCTTGAAATATAGTTTCAGTTCTTTTTGAGGAAATTAAAGCGACCATTTAAAAGTAGGAAAGGTAGATTACATTACATTTTGGCAGGTAAACTGGTAATTTTTCTTCATCATTCTTTCATTCTGTTATTCTTATCTATATTTTGTTTGTTTTTAATGTTTATGTATTTTATGCATTTAAATAACCTCGTTTAATTTAGTTGCAGTTTAATTGTAATTATTCCAGTTTTATTACAGGAAGAGGTTCATTTTCTGAGTAACAGTTGGATTCTTTGTCACACAACATCTGACCATCTTTATCTGTCATTTAATGTTCAGGTGGGACAGAGAACCAGGACGCAGAAGACGAGTACCGTCGCACCGCTCAGGCTAGCTGGGTTCAGCGAATGTTTACGTCGCTCTTCAGTGACTCTTCTTTATTCAACACAAGAGAAGGCCGCGCCGGGAAGGTATCTGAATATGTTCCTTGTTCTACCGGAAACCACAAAATTATATAACACTCCATACAAAACACTGCATGTGCTCTATCTGCATTCTTGTTTCACTTTTCCTATATTCAAATTCACATCAACCTGCCTTACCTGCCTTTTACTCTCCGTAACACAACTCATCCTGTTACCAGGTTCATAATTTCATGCTGGGCCTGAACCTGAACACCAGCATCCCATTCTCTCCAGTCAGTGAGGTCACGTGCCAAGTCCCTACACCTGAGGAGGAGGTGGATGCCGTCACAGGTAAGAAGGACAAAGTGATTGTCAGGACTCACTGCTTTCAGATTTCATTGTTGCAGCAGACATTATGTAGCATTTTAAGCCATTGTAAATATGTTGATTAAGGCAGCTTTAGATTTAAAAAAAGGTTTGTTTCTACAACACGGATATTTGGCAGACTAATAGAGCTTTACCGGTTTTGGAAGGTGTGGTATGAAAATAATTCACATACTCAGCCCAGATGAGTCATTACACACACATCTTTTGGGTCCGATCATGTGGAACAAAATTTGGCTGTATACAAAAGAAATTTCTCAATCATGTTTCTGTTTTACTTATTTAAGCAAGTCCAATTTTTCTCAGACCCAGATGAATTTGATCGTATTTACGAGCCTCTGGATGTGAAGAGTAAGAAGATCCATATAGTGGACAGCGGCCTGACCTACAACCTTCCCTACCCTCTCATCCTGCGGCCACAGCGTGGTGTGGACCTCATCATCTCCTTTGACTTTTCTGCACGACCCAGCGACTCCAGTCCCCCATTCAAGGTCAGAGTCAGGCTTTTTTTACAGTCATGAATTGCTAAAAATGATCTGTGCTAGCAGAAAAAATCATGAAAATTTTTTTCTTTCTAAATGTGTGGCACAGGAGCTCCTGTTGGCAGAAAAGTGGGCTCGAATGAACAAGCTCCCATTCCCCAAGATCGACCCCAAAGTGTTCGACCGCGAGGGCCTGAAGGAATGCTACGTCTTCAAACCAAAAAAAGGAGAAAAGAACTGCCCAACTGTCATCCACTTTGTCCTGGTCAACATCAACTTCAGGACATTCAAGGCACCTGGTAAGTATGTGCACACGTGGAGGTTTCCACAGCATGTGTGGGAAGGAAAATATGCCAAGACTCTTTGTATTATTATAATAATTATGTTTTACCGTCATGGCACATGAGGCATCTCTTCCTCGAAATTGCACACTGGAATTCAACCATATTCTGTCAGCAGGCAGTTTTTTATGCTAAGTCAAAAGTTGGTCCCCTCATCTGAGTGACCTCAATAAATTAAAGTATCTGCTCACAGTGGTTTTGTGGTGGAAATGCCTGCTTTTAAACATACCAGCAGAGTGTGAGTGTGTGCATACCCGTGGGTATGAACCACAGTGTGTTCAGTGTTTTATGAGCTGCTGCTTGGTTGAATGATGGTTCCTTAAGGAGCCAGGTGCTGGTAGGGAATCTCTCGCTCCAGTGGGAGAGCTCTATGTGTAAACAGGCCATATTTCATGAACCATACAAAGACACACAAAACCCCACATCTCCACATCTCCACAACTCATCTCCACTGCTTCCTCTTTACCTTCAGTAGGTCATCAGCCCACATACTTCCGCTGTCTGTTTATGGACGTTACGTAAGCTTTTTGCACTCAAACGTAAAACACATCTGATGGAAACCATAAATGGACTTCCTGTTCCCGCTGGTTTACTTTTTTACGCTTGCTGCTTTTCCAAAGCATAACTTGTTTCCCCCATGCACGGTCTTTCATCTTTACACCTGAAATAATACAATAAAAACTAATTCAGGAGCAATGTTAAAAATTAGTTGTGAGTGGTAAAGTTCATTTTTGATTACGGCTCCACAATAACAGCACTAAATACTGTAGTTCTGAAGAGATTCCCTGGCCTACTAACCTTATTCTCATCATGATTTTGATATTTTATTCAGTGAAAATTAAATTTGTGATTCAAAAATGATCATTCCCACACTGAACAAGCTCAACAAGCTCAACATTTATTATGTATTTTGTCCCTACTATCGTCCCAGTTAATTAATTAACTCTCTTTCTTAATTTATTTACAGGTGTTCCCAGAGAGACTGAAAAGGAAAAGGAGCTGGCTGATTTTGACATCTTTGACGACCCAGAGTCACCATTCTCCACTTTTAACTTCCAGTACTCCAACGAGGCCTTCACCAGACTCCATGACCTGATGGAGTTCAACACTCTCAACAACCTGGAGGTCAGTTCCGCCCCTGTGGTTTCACTGCAGGATGCAAAGTTGGCATTGATAAAGTTTTATGACATCAAACAACAGGAAGGAACAGCATTGTATGTTGCAGTTTATAAAAGGGGATATTGGATTTACATTAATTCACTTAGTAATTCATTGTTGATCTACTTTCATTCAGTGTCGTCAGCGGGGAAGTTTTACATTTTTGTTGTAAGTAATCAATCTAAGTTTGCAAAACATTTTAAATCCCCGACCGGATAGTACAAGTCATATCTGGTTTACAGTAGGTGTGCCACTATAAAAGGTCAGATTGACTTTCACTCACTGTATCTGAGTCACTTCCCTGCTGAGTAAGGATTTAAATATGATGCAGTGTGTTTGATTTCACTGGTAGGTCCTCTCGTTTAGACAGACTTGTATAGTCAATAAAGATACAGGTTTGAGTCTGACTTGTGACCCTTTGCTGTGTGTCATCGGCAGTCATTAGCTGACTTACATACCTTGAAAAGTAAAACTGTGAAACACCAAAATCTACGCCCAACAGGGAGAATTGCGAGTCACCAGAAAGCTTCCTTTCGCCAGTTAGGCTAACCTACTACTTACTGTGAAACTTTACCGGGAAAATGGAAACATAGGCTCTTCTGGTTAAATCGTTTTGTCTGATATCACAGGGAATTGCACTGGTATCTTGAATAACTAAGTACAAATACTCAATCTACTCGCTGTACTGATGGTCTTGTGTTTATGTAGGTCATATAGAGGCATCAGTATTAAATGGAGACTGTTTCATAACCAGTTAAAAACTCCTTGTAGCTGCTTTGATATATGAGAAATCTGCCCAGCAACATCAAAGTTTGGTCATTTGTCCCGCATGCACAAATTTACACCCTGATCTTTATATATTTAAAGCGGCATCGGTCAACATTTTTAGCCATGCTAGCAGCGTAGCTCAAGGGAAGGCGATTTTCGGTCGACCACTTTTGCCCCGATTGAAATATCTACAACATTGCTGGATGATCACCAGTGAAGCTAAATACCTCTTCTTACAATTAATGATAGATCAAGCAAATGTGATTTTTCCTCGGTAATTTTACAATATTGATTGATACATTGATTGATATTTTCCCTTATAGGTGATCAAAGAAGCCATCAAGGACTGCATCGTGTCCCGGAAGGAGAATCCCTCGTGCGGCTCTCTTCCCTTCTCCCTCAGTGAGATCCCGAAGAAGAAGTTTCCTCGGGTACAACCCTGGAATCACCTGGGAAATAATAACTAGTAGCCTGATTGAAGACTTTGGATAAAGTGGACTTTTTGTAAATTCTGTCTTAAAGAAAAGCATTTTCTTTTTGGAAAATGCTATCACCTTGATCTCTTTTCTATATACTTTTAATCATACTTTTAATTCTCTAAAGAACCTTAAGGTTTACTGGTACACGCCTTATGATTGCATTCATATAGAACAGAGTGAGACTTTTCATCTGGCTTTATTTGCATGAATGTGGCTGCTGGGAAAACTGTCGCTGTTTATTGACCACAAACAGCTGATGTCTGTCTTTTCCCTGCTGGCTGCGAGAAAGCCTGGAAAAAAAATCAACACTTACTAAACACTGCAGTGTGGCTGGATTGTTAGAGCTAACATCTTTCTTTTGTTTTTGATATCTACTGAGAGTTCCTGTGTGAAACTGTGCTATCTCTCTATCTCTGTTACTTTAAAAGAAGTGCATACTTTCATCTGCTCATTCACTCCATTTTCATGCATCATGTGAATTTTCTTCCCCAGTTGCAGCATTCCTAATTCATGCGGACACTTCTTGGCTTCAGTTCATGCTGCCTCGAGCACTTGCATTTGCATGTTTCCTATGACTTTTTCTGCAGCCATGCTGTTTATAAGTTGTGCTTTGTGAATGCACTGTAAGAAGCCCCACCTGTTTTGTGTCAGCTGAACTCTTTCCATATTGAACGTGCAACTGCAGAGCATGCAAATCTCCATGTTTTTGGGTTTTTTTTCCCACCGGATGGCTCGTCTAAACATGTAATCCTGTTTGAAAACATGGAAGAGGAGCTTGTAACCATTGGTTTTGTTTGATAGCAACTCCTAAACACGCCAAGTGCACCCCTCTGGATACCTCAAACATCTCAATGATGCTTATCCACCTACAGGGAAAGAGCACTCCCTGCTTGCCTGTAGGGAGTGTCTCATATTAAAGCCACCATTTTGGAAAAACAAAAATTGATACCATAGAAACAGCCCTCTCTCTCTCTCCATCGGGATAAAGGTGGGTTTATTTTCCTGACCATATTGTTTCAGGCTGCCTTTTAGATATAGGCACAGTTTGTTTTTCTCAAGCATTCCCTCCCTCAGCGAACCCAACGTGCTGCAGGACTCCTCTAACGGCCCGCACTGTGAAATCAAAGAGAGGGATGGCTGGGTGGAGTTGTAAAGTGCGATCACGAGACCCGCTTGCAGCTGAAAATGGTGGCTCTCTGCAGCACATAGTGGAATTTTACACACTACACCTACACCTGCAGCAATGGAGGCCTGGAATCTGACACACTACACCTATACCTGCAGGGGCCCAAAGGCTGCACACAGAGCAGTGGAAATTTTCACTGAAGTACTTCTGACCCTATATGCTCATGTTTCTGCCCCGCTGGTTTGGAAGAAACTGAGGAAAAAAGTGTTTTTCATGACCTACAAACTTTTGCAACTTGCTATTTTTATCAGATCATTTGTGTCATGTTTTCTGTTGCAGGGTTCTCATGTTTTATTTAAAGAAAGAGTTTAGGGAATAGGTTTCTTTGCTAGTCTGTTACAGATGTCAGTGGTTGAATAGGTTTTTCGTACTTCTGCAAGCAAACCTGAAAAAAGAGATAAAAAGAGGATGAAGAGTGTAATCAGAGGGGAAAACAGCTAGCTTGGCTTTTTCAAAATGTACAAAAACTAAAATGTGCGGATTAAAAAGACAAGATATGACATGCTATGAACTTTGGAGGTGCCGGTAAGCGGATTTTGTTGCCCTTGGAGACACCCAGGCTAGCCCCTTGTTTTTGGTCTTAAAGCTAAGCTAAGTTAACCGGCACAGGGTGGGTTCAGTCTTTAGGTCAATTTGCAAAAAAGCACATTCCCAAAATGTTGAAATACTCCTTTAAGACAAAGTTTATACTCCAATATGCAACAACTCAAGATTTGATCATTTTACAGAGACATCTCTAAGCTATGATGTTACACTTTTATTTTTATTTTTAACATAAGGTTAGTTTATTTAGAAAGCATTACATGAGCAGTAGCAATTTTATTTCCTATTTTTTTCTGTCATATTACATTTTATGAACTTTGATAATGTTTACAAATGTGCAAGATGCTAAACAGTCAGTCCTAGGGAATCAAGACATGTACAAATACTCCTGTGATCATTAACTATTTGTGTTATAACTGGCAAAGCATGTCATACATAATGTTTATGTGCAACGGAAAAGAATGACAATAAAAGAGAGAATTCATCTTGTGTGCAATGTTTTCTCTTAAAATATCATATTATCAGAACATCCTTCCTTTGTCAGTGAGACCTCTTCTGAAATAACACAAAGCAGTGAATTAAATGCTTCAGCATATTCTGTTTCCTTTTGTTTGGCTTAGGTATTTAAAAAAATGTGAGATGACTGGATGGGTTGGTATAGATATCTCAACCAGTTTGTTAGACAGATAATATATGAAATGTAGGTTTTATAGTGTGTTGGACTGTCAGTCAAAGCAGAACCCACAGATGTGATATTGTAGTGTCTGTCCTCAGGCTGTATGACTAACATATCACCATAACACCATTGAAGGGTTTTTATTTTAACCTCTGTGATGTTCTCATAACGTCCACAGATGAAGATCTTTAAACACAGAAAAGAAAAGAAAATCTTACCTTCTCACTTGCTCCTTTTGTATCATCTTGTCTAAAAGTTACACATACATGTTTAGAGCATGTTGAGATAGCTTAACTTTCATGCATATGTGAAACATTTTAAATTAAATTTCTATTATCATTTTAAGATAAGATAGTACTCTATTCTGAGTAGGAAAGAGAACAAATAAAGAATATAAAAAGTATAAAAAATATCAGCTTAGAGTACTGAGGAGTTCTAGTAGTTTGAAAATGATTAATTAATGTCTTGTGTGGCAAGGGGGAGAAAAAAAACCCACAGAAAATGTCACAGGTTATGGTATTTTGGACTAGGACAGACCGCAGCCTTGTAACAAGAAGTCAGTGGTATGAAGTTTGAAATATAAGTGTTTGGCCCAACATAATGGAGGTAAGTGGGCTGTCAACAGTTTCCATAATGACTACTTCCTTCCTTCCTTGACGTAGCTTCCTGCTTTTTACGGAATAAATAGTCCCAATAACAGCAGTACATAAATAAAGTTTTATAACTAGGTTAGGGAACAAAGACAACGCCTCAAACTCATCTAATTTACACACAAAAAGTACTTAAGCACACCTTATCCGTTCACTCCCTCTTTGACTCAGTTTTCACATCTCTTCCCACCAAACCCTTTCTTTTTCTTTTTTCTCCCCTTCTCTCTCTCTCT